GTGAATGGGGTGCAGGTCATCATAACCCTTACATAACGTGATACCGTCTCGCGAAACGAAACACGTCTCAGAGCGGCTCATAGGTACAGTTCCGGAGGTCCAACGATGAGTTAGCATTGCTGCCTTCTGTCAAAATACCCCTCATCCTCCTCCCCGGAGAAATTTTATACATATATCCAGTGAGACAAGTACCTCGAGAGCCTTCTTTCCTTGCTTTGTAATATCAGCGGTAAGTCTGATTACCGTCGTAACGTAACAGCTTTTGCGTAGTCGTGGATCAGTGACTAATTACATTGCGGACCTTAAATTTCTTTTTGTTGGTTTTAAGTTGTGAGTAAAAGTGTATTAATCACGCATCGAATGTCGCTGTTTTTCGTAGTCAGGATTTCCCGGGATAAACCGGAGACCGGCTGTCCTCACTGAGGTTTTTCGTGTTTTTACTCAGTTTCTCCACGCAACTGCGGGGGCAGTACCTTAAATTAGGCCTCGACCGCTTCCTTCTATATCCGTTCCAATTCGTTATTCACTGATCACCATGTCATTCGACGCGAAACGTTGAGGTAATGGAAATTACGTTCTGACGCTGGTGACTTCGGTAACAGGGAATGCAAACGAGGCTGTTTGACGCCTATGGTGGTGTCCGGCGGAGTCCGCGTTTGGCAGGAATCTGGCTTCAGTCGACTTAAATATGTTCGCACATTTAATACCTTATTAATAAACTTTATTAATTTTGTATTTTCATCGCGATTTGCTGAGATAATGTTGCTGTAAATTGTATTAATGTTCAACACAAAAGTTCATTCTCGTTATGGTTAGTCATCTTCGTACTCGCCTCCGTGAGTTCCTGAACACTCAAATATTTTTGATCGTGATGCTTTTTTATACATTTCGCAAACATCTGCTGCTTGTTTCTGAATTTAACTAGAACGATCACTTTGGCAGAAGAAACCTAATCGGAAATGGCTACAAAGGGTACTGAAATAAGCCGCCTGTGACATGATGCGCTCTGATGGGATCTATAAATTTTTTGCCTACATCGTTACAACATTACATGTAATTATATGTCGTGAAGAAGAAGCAGAACAAGAAGTTGCACGAGTGCATTTGAGCGTGAACAGAAGCGAGCCAGGCCACGCACGGATGAGCACGGCCTGGTGGATCGCCCAGCTAGAACAAATGGCAAACGTTTTGTTTATCAAAAGTGCATGACAGCTGAATCATGGTTCGAGTATCTCCATGTAATATTTCCTCGTAAGACGCTCATGCATGCAGAGCAGAGATGGAACTGCGAAAGTTTCTGTAACAACGTTCTTCTGTTGTTTGTTGAACTGACTAGCTCATCTGCTCGTTCTTGGAATATTGACAGTGTGATTGCGTTATTTGTTGACCTGGTTGTCGTTTGATCTAGAAACGTGTATTCAACCACTTATTCACAAAAGGTTGCTTTGTGAATTTCAAATGACTTTCCTTATCTTGAATATTTAATTGTTTTTCCAAGCATCGCCTTCCGTATCAGTTCACCGTGAAAGATGAAAGTTAAAACTGATCGAGTATTAAAAATAATTGTGTACACCGACTTCACTATGAGATTTCTACCACAGGAAAGCAAACTTTCAGCAAGTTCTTTGAGACTGCTTCCTTCGGTCTGTTAAAGAACGGGAGGCAATTACATCCATCGGATGATGCATTCTTCTTCGGATGCCCTTTCTGTTCGCACGAAACGTTCCTGGAACCAACGAACAATACTTGGCATAATAGTAATAACTTTACAGAGCTCACATCTTCACATCTGTAAATTTCGTACAAGCAGTAAAGCCAACGTAGCAGAATTTTTTGAGGCGGGAGTCTTTATACACAGCCTTGGAAATTTGTAAACGCTGGCAAATATGAATTTTTTCTTTATTTTCACTGAAAAAGACAAAAGTGTTCGGACGGAACGTATTTTTAAACTTCACTAGGTAAAACTGTATGAACTTCACTCCACACATTACCTTGATTAGTTATTCTGTGAATTGCCTAGATACAATGTATAAATATGTTTTACTGCATAGCTTCAGTTAATGCATTAAATAACACAGTAGTCTGTGAAAAAATGGACTACGTATTTTAACGGTTAGCATATGCACGTCATACGCGAACTGAAGGAATCTGATGGAAAAAATTCTTAGGTATTACTACTGATTTCAAAACCTAATTTCATATAAATAGCGTAGCCATTTTGGACAAATTTTACAGGCGAGGCGTGGTTTCATATTACTTAACATGTTGACAGCAAACGCAGCCAAGTACGGAATGAAGAATACCTCCTATTTTACACGAACAACGGTTGCACTTAAAGGTTGGAGTGTGGAATGGAGTTACACGTCGGTATATAATTATTGGCTTTCTTATCTTCATGAAAACAGAGCTGTTTCTTTATCCTACTGGAACGGATCAGTTGTTCCAATAGGATAAAGAAACAGCTCGTACTGCAAAATCATCAGTTGGGATACTGCAAGAATTATTTGGTTCCTCGGCCTTCCACATCTCTTGACATCTCTTTTAGTCGTAGGTCTACTTGTGATTTTTAATCAGTTTTGGGTTGAGTGACTTTCTAATAATCATGTCTAAAACCTAAGTTGTGATACAGAAACACCTTAACAGTGTCGAATATCGTACATATCACAGAGAACACGACATATACAGCAGCTGTCGGACTGTGGACCCATATGAAAACAAGATGAACGTATTCTGTATAAGTTTATGGGAGTGCTTGGTTCATTTTAGTGACACAGTGTTTGACATTTTCCATCGTGTGAGGTATGTTTCATATATGACGTTTCGGAAGTTTACTCTGCTCCCGCCTTTATGTGATTGTCATTATACTTACACTTTTCTGTATTATTAGTGATAAGGGTGGGGATACCTAAATGTCGTGTATATCAGAGTGCCTCACACAACAAATATACGATGTCCAACACCATGTTATTGTAATATAAAGAACTGTGGGTGTAGTAACAACACTAGGAGTGACAGTGTTTTGAAATCAGGGCCACACGTTGGGTAGAATGTATCCAGACAGTGTGGGGGCAGTCCGGCTCGCTCTTGGCTTGACCATATTAGAGCCACCTGACCATGTGTGTGGGTGTTGGGCTCCTGCACACAATAATAACATTGTCGAATGCAGATGAGTCTGTGCAAAGAGATAGTGCAAAATAAAAGTACAATGAAAAGCCCAAGTTGAACACTTCCAGGTATAAGAAAGTAAATTAGTTTGTTCGTACGTTGCCCCAACTTGACATCAAAGCCAAATAAACGTAAAAAATTTAAAAAAACAACCGCTTATCGTACAAAAATAGTGGACGTATCGTAACACGTATCTTATTGCTATTTACAGCAATTTATAGCTATTGAAACAGATTTAGATGGGTTTAATATGTAATAAAATACAAGACAAAACAGTTTAACTGTGTTTATTATGATATCTGCAGTGTGATCAACGTCCGCAAGATGTGAAACAAGAAAATCGCTTGAGGAAATTTGGTGTAGGAATTCCACCAGAGTGTACAATACGCGATGCACTGTTAGGCGGGTCATACACAGAGGAAACCAGTTATGGTCACTTCTCGGTTCCTGGCAGGAACGGCATGACTCATTGCTACTGCTATAAGATTTTCTCTATACCATTCAAATTTCGCTTCATAAAAACAATAAAATCAAAATGTTCTGAAAGTCATGCCGCTGTGACAATTGCGTTCTGGTTTATCAATGAACGCACTGTATAATGAAACGTTTCTTCTGACGTGCAGACACACGGCACGACGTTTTAAATCTTTGTTCTACTTTGAAGCAAGGTCCAGTAGTTGCCATAGTTTTCTGGCCACCGTCGTTGTTATCACGAGAAAACAGGGCTTTTGTTTCTTTGTTGTTCTGCATTATCACGGTATATGGCGTCTGACTCAGCACGAAGGTTCTACAATAACCGCGTGTCCAGACGTCTTCGAGCGATAAACATCCTATTAAAACTATTCTTATTTAGGCTGCAGTTCATTAACTGACTTTCCCGTGCACAATGGTGTGTGTATCAATGCATCCTGTTTAGCGATGTCGTTTTTAAGGATGCCATATATTTTTCTCACTCTTTAATTGAATGAAGGGGCCCATTTACACAGTTGCTAGCGCTCCTTGAGCTGTCAAAAGGCTCGTTTCGTAGACAGTACCAAAACTTTGGTGAAAGTAGGATCGTGGAATTAACTCTGTTTTATACCAACTATCTGGCAACAAAGGTACGATAACATCGCTAATTCAAAAGCACGCCACTGGACATGATCTCGAGTCGACATAATCCAGTTCACATCCCCACAACCTTTCCGTCCCTCTGGGGCTTCAAAGTGACTGTTGTACAACTCCATGAAATAGAGTGTTTCTTCAGAAGCTAACAATCGCTCACCTAGTCAAGAAATTCTCCGAGTGTTTTTTAGAACCTGAAGGTTCATAACCGTGTTCACCATAGCCTGTCACTGCTCCCAATCCTGAGTCATGAATCCAATCCACGAACCCAAACTCCTAAGATTTAGTTTAATATTATCCTCCAATCTGCACCTACGTCTTCGGAGTGTTGTCTTCCCTTCACGTTTTCCAATAATTTTTCTTAATTATTACTCCCCATGCGCTCTACATGCCCCGCCTGTCTCACCCGTCTTGATGTGATCATCCTGATAATACGTATGTAATGAAGAGTACAAATTACAACGCTCTTCACTGAGCTGTTTCCTCCGTCCTCCTGTCATTTCGTCTCTCATAGGTTTAAATATCTTGTCGGATCTTCAACATGCGACAGTTCCCTAATGTGAGTTTCACACTTTCACACCCAGTCGATTTCTACGAGGGTATACAGCGCAACGTCCCAGAAGACTGTCATCTGCCCGGAAATGTTCTCCACTCTTTATCTTTCAACTTTGTTCTGAAGTCCCGAGGACTTTGCGTGGCTGGGATTTTAATTATTATTTGTCTTATTTCAGACTTCCTGTACAGACACAACGTGACGTTTGATAACGTCACAACAGAAGTGGAGATCTTGGATACGTCAAAGTGCGCGGTAAGTGTGCACTGATATTTTAAATAAAAGGACTAAGCTCTGTAAACGCTACTGGAGTGTGCATGTTATATGTCCTATAATAATTATGGATGTGTTTTAAAAGTGTAAACTTCGCTTCGTTCTTTGATTTATTATGGAAACCCTTAGTTTCTGCGTCTTTTGTGAAATTTCGAGTGAAGTGCTACGTTCCAGTCTGTAGCATTATCATCTACACGTTACTAAATAGGAAGTTTCTCTTTTGGATAATTTCTCAGCGAGAAAATAGCCGGGTCACATTCGTGAAGGCAACACACTAAGTTTTCAACGGTATGTATTTGAATTTATATTTGTCAAGTTTGCAGTAATCTACTTTTTTTTTAACGAAGTTTGCATATTTTTCTGGCCTCCATTTTCGAAGACCTTAGCAGTTGATGCGGAGTCGTACAGTAACCGTTAAAGCCAGCCATAGTCTGAGCATGTTGTGGTTTGGAAAGGAAAGTGTGCTGTTAATCTTGTGGATGCAGAAGAGTCTACTACATATATAGCCCGTGGGTACTCCTGCGTTAATTTTAATAATGAAGAACTAATCTACGTCCCTCACACAGTGAAACAAAATTTCGCGTTCCAAAGATGACCTCAATACCCTTTATTAGATTCACATACTCACGTATACAATACTCTTGTTGCCGTAAATAATTTGGGGGCTTCTCCTTTACTGAGTACGTCATCTCTTCATGTTCATTAAATTGAAATGGTCCATGTTAGAGTGCTCTAAGTTCATACTTCCCAGTAAAGTCATGTGGATGATGCCAGCACGTAGGTTTCCGTTGTACAGTGCTCTAACTATAACTGTTTAATTTAGCATCATCTAATAAAAGCGGGATGTCGTTATCTGCTGACAGGCCTAGACTTACAGAAACGAAATATAATGTTCGTGCTATTATTAAATTGTTCTGTTTATGTTATTCTTTATCTCAGGCACATGGTCCGATTCACCAAACCATTTTCTGCCATCGGTCTGTTTATTGTGGGAACATTCTGGCATCCAACATTCGTCTTATGTACTTCGCGATAACATTATCTAGGTCACAAATTTTACAAATAGGCCGCGCTCCAGCGTGATCTCCCAGCGTCAGTCAGCATCCGACAAACGTCGACTTCACTGGCGAGTGTGTGTGTTAACTGAAATGTATAAATGCCCATACATATTACATAGCACATAATGTATGTGCCCAGTAAGATCACATGTATTCTTACAGAAAAGCAATCAGTACTTGTGATCTTTCAAGTCGCCTATAGGCCTACTATCTCAGCAAACCTGGAAGAACTGAGGAACCCCACGAAAGCTTCAGAATAGTCGGACTCTGGAACGAGTTTCGAATCCCAGACCACAGAATACGAAGACGAAATGTTGGCAACTCACCTGTTTGTGTTATGATTTGTCTTACTGTCCTGTGAATGTATTTCCCGCATACGGGCTGAAAGACATGAATCTACGACTTTTACATTTATCTTGAGGATCCGGACTGTAAGAACCTTGGCAGGAGTTCCCACGCCCATGTAGCCACCCCTTGCTGTGACTCTCATCAGCAGGGGGTCGAACTCGGGGGATGCTCACCCTAGCAGCACGAGGTCAGTCGTCGCTGTCGCCTGATTGAATAGGCTGTTCATATCAAGTTACAAATGTGATTAATGCCACAATCTAAGGCGGTGTAAGAGACAGGGAGGTGGTGAACAGAATAATTGCAACTCACTACGAACAACTTCTCTGCAGTTACAGTCTTACACCATTGTATCTATCTTTTTCTAAATGTTCTCTTATCGTCTTTTACCTTTCTCTGTGTGTTCAAAGGAACACATGGCACACGTGTAACTACTAGAGAACATATTCTTATTGCCCCACAGAAATGTGCGTAATATAATTCAGCACACACTCACATTTAGCGAGAGTTTTTTGAATACCACCGCGAAGGTTAATGCACGAAGTTAAGGCGTTTTGGGAAAATAGGGTTAGGGGGACCGAGGTCACATTAAATGATACTTGTTGTGAATATTAATTATTAATAACAATCCTGGCATTTCAAGTTCGACTAAATAAAAAGATGTTGTAACATCAGGTGACATATTTCCCTTTTGTAGTGACCCAATGAATCTCGCTCCCAAGACAATCGAACAGAGTCCAGTCAGACGCACGAAGATGATGTCGTCGTCAGTTCTTTGTAGATACCTCACCCAAATACTGGATGCGGTGTTTGCATTTACTGTGTCACCAGCACAACGTTTGTTCGACGTAAGATAGGTGAAGGAACAGAAGAATGAGAACGATTATGTGACGAAGAGCTTCTTAATTAGCGCTCTCCGCCATTATGAAGGCGACTAAATAACAAAAGAGGGGAATGGTAGGAAATTTTGTAGGCATGGCTAAATGTTTGTATTGAAAAACCTCGACAAGAGAAAATCGCGTAGGAAATGTACTATTTGTACGGTTATTGGTGAAATAATATTTATGAAGACTTGAAATTATTTGAGTTGTCTTAGGTTAGATTTAAATGACGTTATTTTGTGTTGACGGCTTCCACAACGGACAGAAATCATTGCTCAAGAAGGACTGAGGAACATGGGATCAATATATTGTTGGTTAGTTAATTAGTTTAAGTGTCCATCACTAAAGCAAACACGCAGTTGAAACGCTTTTAACATTCTAAAGCCATGAATAAGTAACATTTGTCAATTTTTACATCCTTTTGCAGTTTTTAAATGAATGGCAATTGTGACTGTGACGGAGCCTATCAAAAACTTTATTCTGCCAAGTAATGAAATGACGACAAGAAAAAGAATTTTCGAGTGAGAGAAAATAGCATGTGCTTGTTGTTATTGTACTGACGCCAGTGATGGCTTTGAGCATTTCCAAGTTGCGCTGCTCTTTTGTTCTGAAGATGGTTTCTGCCGTCTTTTACAGACAGCACAATACCAATCGACCATGGTATCGACCCTAGTCTCATTGTGTCCGTTTCACCCCTCGACCTCAAGCAGACGCTCGGCCAATAGCTGTTTTGTCGTGATATGTGTATCCACGATCTACCGACGTGTCATAAAAGTTGCACGTCATAAATAGAGCGCGCGATCGCATTCCTTCGCCAGCTGGATCCTCTCTGCACGATCGCTTGTTGCAGATCTCAGCTGTTAAACTTCAGAAACTTCATCATGTAATGTTGCCGCCCAGTGGATGGCATTGTCTCTCTCGTAGCTACTTGGGAGGAAGTCGTGCGTCAAATCCAGGCATGAAACAGGCTAGCGTGACAGACTTTTTAATGATTATCCTCTGCATCTTCAGACAAATACTGGGATATAACTTCAAAATAGGCCATGAGTAATTTATTTTACGTATTCTGACTGAAGTAGAGGTCATCACGGACCCATGCCAGGTCCTAGTAGCACAGATTATATTGAGGTCCGGATTCGGACCTGCTTTAAGTGATAGCAATCAAATGTTACATAGAACATTTCAGGCTTTCTCTGGCCGTTCTTAAAAAAAAAAAGTTGTTCGTAGTTGCGCTCATCGTGACACAGTCGGGCTCCGAAAATAAATTCCACCGACTTGATTTTCTCGATGATGCTCTTAGCCACCCTCTCCCAGAAGTAGTTGGAGATAACACCTTTCATACTTGACATCAAACGCGGAAACATCCATAGATTACTGGTATTTCTATATTAAAAGAAGATAACCATAATCAGAGCAGATTACAAATATATCGGGCTTCATTCGGGCTTGAATTAAAGTACGTCGGGCTTAGGTTGGGGTACGGGTAACATATTTTAAGATAACCTTCGGGGTTTTGCTGGAACGGGCCTAATCCTGCTTGGATAGGGCCGGGTTAAATTCTGAAATGTCGGCCCATGCAGACCTCCATACTGAAGCAGTTACTTAGGTTAGGGCATGCAGAACGTCAAATGAGAATGACGCGCTCGTGACTTACCCGTCTCACCAGGAGAATTCCTGACAGTACGAAAGAAACTGAAGTTGATCTAAATCGCTTACTTCTTAATTTATCTTACGTCGTCCTCACATCTCATTCAGCGCCGTTAACTCTGCACGCATCTACCGTGAACAACAGACGTTCTGCATTACCCACCCAGCAACTGGATTCTGAAGAGACAGACAGTATGATGACAACGACAATTTTATAAACCATCAGAAGAAGAAAGCGATTCGATAGGTGTTGGTTTAAACAGTCTTTTCCTGCACTATATTGTGGGCGTTTCTAGTAATGTTCTTTTTAAGATGGGAAGCATAATTTTGATTATTTCTCACATTTTACTATCTTCCTAGTGCATGCATCGGTAGTTAATTGAAGTTCCTGTTTTGATCCTCAAATGTTCATCGGGTTGTCCTCTTGTACTCGGTAGTTAATTGAACTTCCTGTTTTGATCCTCAAATGTTCATCATCACCACAAATCCCGCAGTTGGTATGTATTCAGGCTCAGTAGACCATAATGCATTTTACATAAGAAAAACTTCATTGCGATCCATTTTAATGTTATATTTCCAACTAGGCCAATATTCGAGTCTCGTATGTGGCCACTTTCCACAAGACAGTAGGTGTAAGGTTCCTGATTAATGTTACAGTGCATGTAGTTTTGTTGAAAGTAGTAATTACTTTTAATTTTATTCAGGAAGGTGTGTCACTAAATTGATGCAGCCAGTGTGTATACAATATGACATATTACCTTTTACATCCGACCAAACAAGATAAAAGTGATGTGATTCAGTTTTCACCATCAATACCAAGTAGCAAAGAGCGTTAGGACGTACTGGGGCATCCAACGGGACTTACACATCTCTGGGCCACTGTAGCCACCATTCAAGGGACGCAGATTCCAGTCGGACGGTCAAGTGAAACAAGCGATCACGAATTTTTAATCATCATCCTTTGGAATTCTTCGAGGAAGGTATCCATCGCTTGTCGTGTCAGTGGGATGCATGTCTAAATACGGGCTGCGATATTTTTTTTAGTGAGCTT